CGGTAGGCCGTCCCGTGCCCTTGTACCGGCATACACGTTGCCGAATCCGCAGCTCCCGAGCATCGCTCCACGGGGGTACGCCTTCTCGAAAGACTCCCTCTCTGTCACTGGCTTGCCGGGTGTTAGATACATGCTGCTCGTCGGGCAGGGCTGTACGAAACTCCCCTTCACGGCAGCGGGGTCCGGCCGCTGAGGCGCCAATGTCGGCGTCGGTGCGTCCTGTTGCGATTCTGCCGCAACTTCATCAGACTTGCCGGCGGGCGCCCAGGCTGTGCTGGATCTAGGTTGAGGCATCAATGCCTCGGGGACTGTGAGTATAAAGTTCGTACGTTACATGGAGGGACTCATTATCCCAGTGTGTGTGTATATATATATATGCGTATGTGTGTGCGTGTGAGTAGTGTGTGTGTGTGTGTGTGTGTGTGTGTGTGTGCATGTGTGTGTGTGTGTGTGTGTCACACGGTGTGTGTGTGTGTGCGCGTATGTATGTGCGTGTGTGTATGCACGTGTATGTGTGTGTGCGTGTGTGAATATAACGTTATGCGTATGCGTGTGTGTGTAGTGTGTGTGTGTGTATGCGCGCGCGAGCGTGTATGTGTAAATATATATATATATATAACACAATCCAAATCTAAAGGGGAAAATCCAATTTATTCCCCCTTTTTTCTGTCTTGAATTTTTGCAATCTTAAGACAACAAAATCTTGAAGATCAAGCTTTTTGAACTGTGATAGCAAAAATTAAGACATTAAGAAGTTCGGAAAGACCATCACATTGCCTTCGATTTCTGGGGTTAGCGAGAGAAGTTCCCTCGTATGGCAACGTACGGGTTATATTTTCTGTTTTAGCCAACCACAATAGGAGGGAAATTGTCTCCTTTGACCGGGCACAAGGGAGGTTTTCTGTCTTAGCTGACCAAGAGGGAAGTTCCCTCGAACGGGGGTCTTCACGAACGGTGTTCATGCACACAGTCCGTCACTAGCGGTGTGCCTTGTAAAGTCACACACGAGGGAAGTTCCCTCGCGACTCGACCAGGCCGACACGAACGGTCTTCTCGCGTTAAGTCACACACGAGGGAAGTTCCCTCGCGACTCGACCAGGCCGACACGAACGGTCTTCTCGCGTGAAGTCACACACGAGGGAAGTTCCCTCGCGACTCGACCAGGCCGACACGAACGGTCTTCTCGCGTTAAGTCACACACGAGGGAAGTTCCCTCGCGACTCGACCAGGCCGACACGAACGGTCTTCTCGCGTGAAGTCACACACGAGGGAAGTTCCCTCGCGACTCGACCAGGCCGACACGAACGGTCTTCTCGCGTTAAGTCACACACGAGGGAAGTTCCCTCGCGACTCGACCAGGCCGACACGAACGGTCTTCTCGCGTGAAGTCACACACGAGGGAAGTTCCCTCGCGACTCGACCAGGCCGACACGAACGGTCTTCTTGCTTGAAGTCCAACACGAGGGAAGTTCTACTTGGCCGACACCAGCGGTATTCTAGCGCGAAGTCTGTGCAGGACGATTGAGGGGAATACAAAGTGTGACACATACACTCACACTGAGCGTTGAATACTGTACATGTATTATATGTCCTCATGCCGCAATAACCACTGCCCACATGTCAATGCAAACGATAGAAATTTAAGCATGCAAAGTAGAAAAGTACTATTTATACTAGACACACAGACACACTATAACATAACAAGAAAGGTTTAAGCTGTTGACACTGAACATCACTGAGGTCAAAGTCCACAACAACGCCTTTGAAAAAGGACATAACGACTATATTACCTTTATCTCTATTTGATCAAATGGCTTATAGCAAGATACAGTATATCACATATAAGCCATGCGCAGGTATAGACACTGTCTATAAACTCCAGTCAGATTATTTCAATTTGACAAATGTTTACAATGTTTACAACAAGGCATCGTGACATGTTAGCTGTAACTGAAGCACAAAAGATCTAAAATAGGAACTTGAACATGTCTACTGAAAAACACAACACGAAGACTATTCAATACATCTGTGGTCAATATCAAATCTATGGAACTTAAACAGTAGCGTGGTACAGTCCAAATCTAGCTACGACCGCGCCCTCGTCCACCTCCACGGGCGCCGCGTGAGCGCCGTCCACGGCCTCTGTTCCCACCTCGGTTCCTCTTCTTACCCATTGTCGATCCCTGGACGACAATCTAATGAAAATTGTACCATATAATTAGTAGAAACTAAACAGCATGGCGTTCTTCTTTTGTCAACAACATTCCCCCCAGACATGTCTCCTCCTCTCCCTCTTTTAATATCTGACCCGGTCTGTCCACTATTTATTTTTGAAGTTCAAAATCTTACCTCGGCACTTTCCAGCTCCTCTTCCAACAGACGGTCGAGCTCCTCAGAGATGCCTGTCTCTGCCCCGTCTCCCTTTTCCAGCTCCGCTGGATCACAAGGCGACAGCCGCTCCAGAAGCCAACCTGTGCCATCTCCTGAGGCATAGCGCGTCTTAGCAGGTAGACTTTGTGACGCGCTCTTCAGCTGACCAAGATACTCTTTCCAGTATTTCGCTTCTTCTTCAGATTCCAAGTATGGTGACCACTTTGGAAGCTTCTGGGTCATCAGGTTCCCCACGTTTATCTCCCTCTTCTCGAACACAGGCAGCAGCAGCTTCGGCTTCCCTGACGGTCTGACGGGGACGTTCTCGTTGTCGGTGCGGAACATCCCGGTCCGTAGGATCTTCCACTTGTGGTCGTGGCTCCTTCTGTAGAACATGTCTACTCGATCCTTCATCGTTTTACTCTGTCTGAATCTGAACATCCCGACTTTAGAGTGCCCTTTAATGTTGATGATGTACGGCTCCAACCAGCCTCGCACGTCGTACAGACCGCGCATCTCCGCTGCGTCCGGAAGTATTTCTAGCAGCCGCTTGGGTGTTCTGGCCTCTTCGTGTCTCAGTCTGTCAGCGATCTGACTGAACAGTTGATCTAAATTGAAAAAGAGGACTAGCATGTTTCAATGTTCGATATAAAGAGCTTGTGCGTGCGCGTCTTTTTATGATTAAAAGGTAAAAGACAACAACTATTAAAACTCAATGAACTTAACCAGTCTTGGCCATCGGTAGTACTTGTATATCCAGACTTCATTGTTGATCAGCTGACGCTTCTTATGAGTTAAAACACCTTGATACATGTTCTCATTTCATCGTTTAGAAACTTAAGAGTCATCCAGGCATAACTTTAAGGACAACAGCCACGCGTATGCACCAATCCTTTTACGAATTTCAAAATAAAATGTTTTAAATTTGTCTGCTATTGGGAGAATTAAGTCAACGGCTGAAAACCTTGACAACTCTTGTTCAACTATAGTTAACTGTTGCAGTCACTTATTACTTACACCGTTTACAGCTTGCTTTCTGAAAGAACACTCACGATTCAAGCTTCTCTCTTATATGTTCTGTTAACATCTGTACGTTCTTGTATGTTCATTCTGTGTTTACTCAGGTTTGGGTATCGTCTTTTCCAAATTCCGGCACCTCTTTCTTTTTGTCCATCTGTCTTTTCGCGCTTGCACTCACAGACGATTTTGGGTGTCCAGAAATCCATATAGACTGTTATCAGCCTATGGGGATTTCTACCGGAAAGGGCAAAAGGAACCGGGTCAATTAAACTGCAGCCGACTTAACCCGGCAACTGCGTAATGCATTTATTATACACGGACAGGAAAACGTTCACAATACAATCACAAATCTGATATACCCATGTGATACGCCCCACATCATAGTTTACATTTAAAATCCACATGAAGCTTCCTACCATGTCAATATAGTCTAACAGTATGCAAAAATACCATGTTGCGTCTTACCTATATCTTCATGGGTATGCCCAACATACAGGAACGACAGCTGCACCTGCAGAGGAAGCAGGAAATAACTTTAATAACAGACATCCCATAAGAAATTTCATGTCGTCCATATGTGAATACAGTATAGAAATATATCTTCATGAGCAGATATACCGTAGTTTAAGCTTAAACGTGGAACACAAGTAACAACAAGCACATACGTCTGGAGTAGTATAATTGAACACATGTAATCAACTTTTGAACATGCAGCGTTTCACCTAAAGGTACCATGAATACCAAGATAAGGAGTGACGCTCACTTACTTCCACAAATATGTTCCGATGGACCAACAAATCAAGAAACGCCAACATGAACCTGTTCTTGTTTTCCCTGTAAAATTGCATAAAAGTCCATATAGATGAGCCATTCAGACAAAGAGTAAACCAGACCAGCACATGCGAACTAAAAGCTATGGTCATTGTCAGACGCCAATCGTAAACTAAGTAGTAGCTTTGAAATAGTGGTAACAAAGAAAAGTACAGGGTTTATTATTACATTTCCTCTCCATGATCCGTCATAACAATAATGAACACTAAAACTCCGTGTTTTGACCATCTCTAAAAACTATTAAACTGATCAGAAAAAATTGGAACAGACGCCAATCAAAACTACGCGTCAGGAGCAGGTCACGATATTCCCATCTAACCTCTGCTTGAAGAGTGGCAGATGCAATAGCACTTACCTGAAACAATTGTCAGCCTGGAGATACAGGATTGGAGGTAAGGGTCCACGCTGAAACATAAACAAGAGAACAACGTTAGTGTGTTCCTTACGAGATGTTTTATATACAAATTTAACGGACTATGTTCTGCATAATATTCGATATGAATGTCAATGTTCAGTAAAACACCATTAGATTTATTATCAAGTATAATCTGCAACATGACAGTGAGCAGTGTCATATAGAGCAGGGCGGTAACAAAACCAGATTTACCTTAGAAAGACGGTACAGCATTTTCAACAGTAGGTTGATCGTCAAGTTGCTGTCATGGCTATACTCAAACACGTCTGTGTAGGTCGCCTTGATGCCATGCCCGTGACTTATTATGCCAGACACGTGTACCTTCATGAGATCCGTTGACGCCATGTCCTGAAGAAGTAAACAACTTGGTAAGAGAAATGATATCAACAAACCCTTCATAATATCATATATTAAAATGGTACATATAAGTGACAGAAATGCAGACTCAATATCTGTCTGCAGCCCTATGGGGGACTCCATGTGGTTAACCTTCGCAAACAAACAAAAAATTGCAACAATAGTAGTAACACAGAATGTGTGTGTAATAAAATTAATATACGTATGGCTGATGCACAGTCCCTTTTTACCTTGCGCCCTAGATGAATGTTGATCTGTCTTAAGTGGCCGGCCAAGGTGTGTAACCATTTATATTGCCTTAATATTGTTTAATTTGGAAAAAATGTCTCCTTCAGGATCATTTTTTGTAATAAGCTACACGAAATTGATTAGATCTGGCCCTACTCCACGTGACCCTACCTCACGTGACGGCCTCTTATATTTTCAGTTTGGCTACAACAGCCACGTTTTTGTTCGCTCTTCAATATCATCGTTTATTCTTGATTCAATAAAGATGATGTCGAACACACGTAGAAATGTGACATTAGTGAAAATTACCTTTGACTTGGCACCAACGAAGTGTGGGAGGTATGTCTTCGCTTGGTCCATCCCTGTAACAGAAATACGGGCGCTGTTATTCTACAAAATCTAAATAAATTTCATTAAATCTGCCAACGTATGCTAGTATTCTACGCATCATTCAAATGATATGAACGTTTTGTGAATCAACAAGTAAATCAACGTTTCTGATCAGATACATAAAGATGACGAAATGTAAGAAATAATAAATAATTGTAAGTCGCATGAAGACTTACCATCAACAATCAGACTCAGGTACCGGTTTGGATTTCGGTGGGCCGCCTCCCTTCGTCTGTAGTAGTTGATTCGTTCACGCCTATAAAAGATATGTAGCATTTCTAAATACCTGCTTCTTACCCAAAGAATTCAACAAAATATCCTGGCATTTAATCATGTCAGGAATATAAATGAGTAGTTGACAGTTCACACTTCATGTTTAGACTATATCATATAATTCTAAACCGCGTTCAATTCCTGGCATTACTGTATAGAAACTAGTCTCCACCAGACTCCATAGCAGGCTGAATAAGTACTAGAAATCGGCCTAAAAGGGATATGACTGGCCAGAGTGGGTCCATACTATATAGAAGCTATGTCGGCGTTATTCTGGCGCAACATATATGGCGGATAAATGCTTACATTTGTCTGCCGAGATGGGCGCGGCGTCGTTCCTGGATCTCTTCTCGTTTGTTCGGAATCCGTGTCCTCTCGAGCTTTCGCTCCAACTGAACGCATTTCTTACACTTGGTAAACAGGCTGGACTGCATAAAACAATACAAGACATTGTATGATTAAAGAACAACGAAATGCTGCATACGTAATATACACATTATGTTTCATTTTGTCATAAAAACACACGCACATACACAAATACACGGGCACACGTGCACAGCACACAAGCACATATAAATTTACGCACAAACACACACACACACACACACACACACACACACACATAAAAACACACATACACAGGGACAAACGCACAGAAACACACATACACACACTCTTTCAAACAGATACACAAACACACGATTATGGTTACCTTCTTAATGAAAACATCAGGATGCATCTCGTTCCACATGTTGTAAAATGTCTGTTTGGAACAATATGGCTCCATTTGTTCGGCCATGTCTTGGCGGTACTGATGGTAGACGCCTTGCTTCCTGGTCCTGTAGGGAAGCCACTTTTCTTTTCGGTGGGGCATCTTCTCGGCGTGAGCAGCGAGATACATCTCGAACCAGACGTTGGCATTTACATATGCCTTAGACTTTTCTCTGCGAGGTCTAATCCTGTCGGAGGCTGATGGGCGACCATCCAAGAAGGCTGTTCTACTTCGGTAGTAGACTTTTCTCGAGATGCCGTACAGCCTACACCATGCCTTTCTGCACATCAACCGTCCATCCGCCTTGAAGGAGAACGTGCTCTTCAGCTTGTCTTCGTCGTTCTGGAATGTAGACAGCTTCTCCACTAGCCACGACGACCGCGCGGACGCGTCTCCGCTGCCGAAGTACTTCTCTCTCTTCTTCTTTAAGCCCCGGTATGTAAAGCGCCGCGAGCATTTGGAACGGCAGCAGGGGCTCATGGACAGTGTCTTGTGTAGAGTCTCCCTCTTTACAGCTCTGTTCAGAAGTTTTGCACCAGCTTTGCCAGACACACCTATATAAAATCGATGACACTGATTCACTTGTTTGAATGATGTCTGTCATTTATGTACAAAGAAACCCCCTCCAGTGTAATTGCCCCGTCACAAGTCTGCCTTCAGTCCCTGTTAACACATACAGACCCCCTCTTTTCCGAAATTGCCCTGTCACAACTGACTTCAGTCCCTGTTAACACATAGAGACCCCCTCTCTACCGACATTGTCCCGTTACAACTCTGCCTTCAGTCCCTGTTAACACATAGAGACCCCCTCTCTTTCGACATTGCCCCGTCACAACTGACTTTAGTCCCTGTTAACACATAGAGATCCCCTCTCTACCGACATTGCCCCGTCACATCTGACTTTAGTCCCTGTTAACACATAGAGACCCCCTCTCTTTCGACATTGCCCCGTCACAACTGACTTCAGTCCCTGTTAACACATAGAGACCCCCTCTCTTTCGACATTGCCCCGTCACAACTCTGCCTTCAGTCCCTGTTAACACATAGAGACCCCCTCTCTTTCGACATTGCCCCGTCACAACTGACTTTAGTCCCTGTTAACACATAGAGACCCCCTCTCTTTCGACATTGCCCCGTCACAACTGACTTTAGTCCCTGTTAACACATAGAGACCCCCTCTCTTTCGACATTGCCCCATTACAACTCTGCCTTCAGTCCCTGTTAACACACAGAGACCCCCTCTCTACCGACATTGCCCCGTCACAACTGACTTTAGTCCCTGTTAACACATAGAGACCCCCTCTCTTTCGACATTGCCCCGTCACAACTGACTTTAGTCCCTGTTAACACATAGAGACCCCCTCTCTTTCGACATTGCCCCGTCACAACTGACTTTAGTCCCTGTTAACACATAGAGACCCCCTCTCTTTCGACATTGCCCCGTCACAACTGACTTTAGTCCCTGTTAACACATAGAGACCCCCTCTCTTTCGACATTGCCCCGTCACAACTGACTTTAGTCCCTGTTAACACATAGAGACCCCCTCTCTACCGACATTGTCCCGTTACAACTCTGCCTTCAGTCCCTGTTAACACACAGAGACCCCCTCTCTACCGACATTGCCCCGTCACAACTGACTTTAGTCCCTGTTAACACATAGAGACCCCCTCTCTACCGACATTGTCCCGTTACAACTCTGCCTTCAGTCCCTGTTAACACACAGAGACCCCCTCTCTACCGACATTGCCCCGTCACAACTGACTTTAGTCCCTGTTAACACATAGAGACCCCCTCTCTACCGACATTGTCCCGTTACAACTCTGCCTTCAGTCCCTGTTAACACACAGAGACCCCCTCTCTACCGACATTGCCCCGTCACAACTGACCTTAGTCCCTGTTAACACATAGAGACCCCCTCTCTACCGACATTGTCCCGTTACAACTCTGCCTTCAGTCCCTGTTAACACACAGAGACCCCCTCTCTTCCGACATTGCCCCGTCACAACTGACTTTAGTCCCTGTTAACACATAGAGACCCCCTCTCTTTCGACATTGCCCCGTCACAACTGACTTTAGTCCCTGTTAACACATAGAGACCCCCTCTCTTTCGACATTGCCCCGTCACAACTGACTTTAGTCCCTGTTAACACATAGAGACCCCCTCTCTTTCGACATTGCCCCGTCACAACTGACTTTAGTCCCTGTTAACACATAGAGACCCCCTCTCTTTCGACATTGCCCCGTCACAACTGACTTTAGTCCCTGTTAACACATAGAGACCCCCTCTCTTTCGACATTGCCCCGTCACAACTGACTTTAGTCCCTGTTAACACATAGAGACCCCCTCTCTTTCGACATTGCCCCGTCACAACTGACTTTAGTCCCTGTTAACACATAGAGACCCCCTCTCTTTCGACATTGCCCCGTCACAACTGACTTTAGTCCCTGTTAACACATAGAGACCCCCTCTCTTTCGACATTGCCCCGTCACAACTGACTTTAGTCCCTGTTAACACATAGAGACCCCCTCTCTTTCGACATTGCCCCGTCACAACTGACTTTAGTCCCTGTTAACACATAGAGACCCCCTCTCTTTCGACATTGCCCCGTCACAACTGACTTTAGTCCCTGTTAACACATAGAGACCCCCTCTCTTTCGACATTGCCCCGTCACAACTGACTTTAGTCCCTGTTAACACATAGAGACCCCCTCTCTACCGACATTGTCCCGTTACAACTCTGCCTTCAGTCCCTGTTAACACACAGAGACCCCCTCTCTACCGACATTGCCCCGTCACAACTGACTTTAGTCCCTGTTAACACATAGAGACCCCCTCTCTACCGACATTGTCCCGTTACAACTCTGCCTTCAGTCCCTGTTAACACACAGAGACCCCCTCTCTACCGACATTGCCCCGTCACAACTGACTTTAGTCCCTGTTAACACATAGAGACCCCCTCTCTACCGACATTGTCCCGTTACAACTCTGCCTTCAGTCCCTGTTAACACACAGAGACCCCCTCTCTACCGACATTGCCCCGTCACAACTGACCTTAGTCCCTGTTAACACATAGAGACCCCCTCTCTACCGACATTGTCCCGTTACAACTCTGCCTTCAGTCCCTGTTAACACACAGAGACCCCCTCTCTTTCGACATTGCCCCGTCACAACTGACTTTAGTCCCTGTTAACACATAGAGACCCCCTCTCTTTCGACATTGCCCCGTCACAACTGACTTTAGTCCCTGTTAACACATAGAGACCCCCTCTCTACCGACATTGTCCCGTTACAACTCTGCCTTCAGTCCCTGTTAACACATAAAGACCCCCTCTCTTTCGACATTGCCCCGTCACAACTGACTTTAGTCCCTGTTAACACACAGAGACCCCCTCCCTACCGACATTGCCCCGTCACAACTGACTTTAGTCCCTGTTAACACATAGAGACCCCCTCTCTTCCGACATTGCCCCGTCATAACTGACTTTAGTCCCTGTTAACACATAGAGACCCCCTCTCTACCGACATTGTCCCGTCACAACTCTGCCTTCACTTCAGTCCCTGTTAACACATAGAGACCCCCTCTCTACCGACATTGCCCCGTCACAACTGACTTCAGTCCCTGTTAACACATAGAGACCCCCTCCTACACTGACTAACGGTTAGCTGTTGTTCTGTTGACTTTAAAGCCAAACCGACCAGTCAGCCATGGGCGAATCTCCCCAACATCTCATTAAAAAGGGTATTGTCGGGAGGTCCTTCCATAGTTTTAGGCTGTAAGTCAACAAAACACCAATCAACCGTTCGGAAGTATTAGTCAGTAGTATTCAGTAGTATTACCAGTCTGGTTCTTTGTTTTCCCCGTCGGTGTTCTGCTCGCCGGGATGTAGAAAGAACTGTCGAAGGGCTCGGAGTTTGTGTCGGACAAATCGGATGGGTCATCATCTGACGATTCCAGGTGGTGCACTCCAAGGTCGCTGTCGCTGTTACAGTCGTCCCTTGTGGTCTTCTGTAAAGCACGCCTAACATAAGGTAACGCGTTAGCTTGGTCGCTTTCATTGAAGTCATAGACGTCGAGATCGTTTCCTCCACATCCATGGGGATCGGCGATTGGGCTTGGCTGGTACACCGAACTGGCCTGGTCTTCACTTGGACTGGGCTGGTACGGGCTCGACAAGGCACGGGGATTGGGGATTGGGCTTGGCTGGTACACCGAACTGGCCTGGTCAGTACCTGGACTTGGTTGGTATGAGATAGGGCTGGACCACCCCCACGGTAAGGGGCAGTTACAGGCACCCTGACAGTCACAGACAGTCTGATCTTTGTCTTCTGGCTGAGCTGTGCGATAATCTGATTTCTGCAAAAAAAGAATAAAAGATAGGAGTAAGCCCAAATCACACCTTCCTTTGAATTAGCTGGTGTGTTACGCTTGAAGGGTGGTTATACCGGCTATACAGATACAGAAGCTTGTGTTACGCCGAAGGGCGGTTATACCGGCTATACAGATACAGAAGCTGGTGTGTTACGCCGAAGGGCAGTTATACCGGCTATACAGATACAGAAGCTTGTGTTACGCCGAAGGGCGGTTATACCGGCTATACAGATACAGAAGCTGGTGTGTTACGCCGAAGGGCGGTTATACCGGCTATACAGATACAGAAGCTGGTGTGTTACGCCGAAGGCGGTTATACCGTATACGGATACAGAAGCTGGTGTGTTACACCGAAGGGCGGTTATACCGGCTACGCAAATACAGATACAAAATTTGGCGGGAAAATTAGTCGACCAGGTTCGGCGGAAGACCGGATTTGGCCATGCCAATCATTATATGCACATGTATAAGCAACGAAACGAATTAGAACATTGCTGAATTACTCCCGGTCGGCCAAACGGATGCATATGGGATCCGTAAAGTATCGGAAACTTTGATTCTTGGGGATCTGAAACTATTGGATCCCTCCCAAAATATCTAAAAATTGGATTTTCTACGGATACTAAGTCGTTTTTACAGTTTTCGTCAAGTAGAATTATTTTATTTTGCCTTCCGAAAATTACATATTTGAAGAGGCACTAAGTAGAAGGATAGAATAATTTTTAGACCATCTAATCCCGAAGCTGAGGGACTCTTAACAGTAACACTTCGTTACGCTTTCTGGCCTCCCTGTTTTCTTTAGGGCACTCGCTAAGTACCGCGCTCATTAACAGATGATTGTCAGCTAATCAAAGTGCGCTTGTCAGATCAGTGTCAATTACCCAAGATTAGTCCCACCCCGTGGCACCTTTTATAGGCCTTATAGCACATTTTATAGACCCTCTACCACCAGGCATCATGAAGCGGGCCAAATCCTAGTCTCCACCAGACTCCTTTGCAGGCTGAATAAATAGTAGAAATCGGCTATGAGGGGCTATATGGCCTATATTACCGACAAAATCAGGAACATTCTGAAGAAAAACCTCGTAAACAATGTCTTCTGTGTTAATTCTGTCACGGGCGGCTTTTTCGCCATTTTGGGACATGGAAGAGGCTATTTTGTGTGTAGGGGAAAGGCGTCTTTGAAATACTTCAAATTCATATAATCAAAATCCATTCATATACAAGATAGCAGTAATATAACACAGTTATACTGTAATACTAAGAGATTGTACTTCAAGTCGTATGAATATTTATTGAAAGATATTTTATGATTTTACACACAACGTGTTCCCTTGAAATGGACTCTTCGGTAGCGTGCCCGGGCGCTGTCTGGAAAGCTTTCGTCAAACTTCTACTACAAGATCCATCCCAGGGGATTAGATTTTAACCACATCTGTGAAGAACAATAAAGCATGTATGTTTTTCTCAGCAGGGTGATTGGCGTTTTAAAATGGGCAGTGGAACTCATGCTGATATTATTTCCCAAGGATTGAATGAGCTGGTACTGACTTCGTGACCTGATCAAGGCCCTAGTCTCCACCAGACTTCTTCTGCGGGTTGATAAATCGTAGAAATCGGCCCCAAAAGGGTATTAATTGGCCTGAGAAGGTAGCTAGCCGGCCAGAGAAGCTCCAGCTCCCCGCCAAGAGGCCAAGAGGCGGGGAGCTGGAGTCTGGCCGGCTACCTTACTGGCCAATTAATACCCTTTTGGGGCCGATTTCTACGATTTATCAACCCGCAAAAGAAGTCTGGTGGAGACTATCAAGGCCCCCTGGATGTCACATTATGTACAAATGTATACAGATACGCCAGGAGACCCCGTGGGGCTTGGCTGCGCGCGGGCCTGCATGCCGGGTTATTTATGGCCTGAATGATCTGAGGTGCTAAGCTACTGTCCTTGTTCCGTAGATGAGCGGATTAATTTTATACCCTTTCATCGTAGTGAGTTTCCACAGACTGTGCAGGCCATGCTGGACCCTCTATAGCCGGCCAACTCCCCTGGCCAATGTCAATGACGCCCCCCTTTATTTAATAGCCAATTTCTACTATCTATTCAGCCTGCAAAGGAGTCTGGTGGAGACTAGACAACTCCTTTGGCACAACACGTCTATTCATGAAGGTAGAAAGTCTATTCAAGGACTATTTGGCCGATTTCTGTTCTACAACCGCTAAATGCTGAAGCCTGGTAGAGGCTACGGAGTACCTCTATCAGACTATTCAGAAGTATTCTAGTAATTTCTACGGAGTGTAGAATTTGGCAAATGGTGTGAATAATTGGCCAGGGGGAGTTTGCTTGGCCTTTACCATTTATCTGTAAGTGTCGTTGAGTTTACCAGCACCCTGGCTGTAGGGAGAAGAAAGTTTATACTATGGGGTGTCACCACATGGTTTCATTTGTCCAGTGGAGGGGAGGGGGTGGGGGTGGGAACTGGTGCCATCCGATAATGTGAGGAAGAAAATCTCACAAAAATAATTTGAAGCCCGACTTTTAAGCGTAGAACAGCAAAAAGTTTGTAAGTCCCTTGGGAATCGGTAGATTTTTCACGCGCACAAAACCCAATCTCCATACTTCTGGTTTCCGAAAACCGCTCGACCGGAAGTCGGTTTGGAATGTGACCATAGGCTAGAATATGAGGACGCTACCCGCTGAGAGAAACACGCTTGGTTTCATCTGACCTAGTTTTGAGGTGCACCATTTGGGAGCGGGCGGAAACTACGGAGGATGGCATCCAGTCTACTTGGTTGGTGGTCAGAGAAAGGGTTTCAGAAAGCTGAAAAGCAGATATGGGGAATGCAAGGTCATTAAAATGTTTGCAAGCTTCCATACAGTCACTTATATTGGATTGGTGAGTTTGAAATTTGCATAATGGACCAGGAAATTGAGATCAGGGAGTTTTGAACTTGACCATTTCGCCTTTTTTGCTGGCAAAATACTTCTGAATAGTAGGATTAGGTATATTTGGGATAGGGGCTTGACAGGCCCGCCATAACGTCCACCATACTAACAACGCGGGTTCGAAAAAAACAGTGAAATTTAGCCTATAGCCACCGTAGACTTCATTTGCCGTTCAGAAGGGGGGAATTATCAACCATCCCGTGGACTGACTCTCCTGGCAAAGTATTTTCCCTTTTTAGCCTTTTTTTACGATCAATACCCTGGATTGAGTGAGTGAGAGAGACCCCCGTAGAAGGCCTAGTGGAGGCTAGACAGATATCGCTAATTTTACTTAGGACATCATAATCAGATTTGACCTCACAAAGCTAAATAAATTGCACTTTCCCTTATTTAAAAAGAGAAAGATTTTTATGTTTATTGCAACCAAAGTAAGCTTTTACTTTCCAACATGTGCGATTCAGGTCACCTCACTAGTAGTTGAGTTCGTATTGCTGTGGGGGGACGAACTAATAATAACGAGAAACAACAACCCACAAAGCAAGACTACTGTAGTAACTAGTAATGGCCTATAGAATCTGTCGTCTTTCCACCGTAGGATCTGCTTGGAGACTATAAAACATCCCCATGATGTGCATGGAGATTTCAGGGCAGAGACAAGATGGAAGCTACTGAGTGATGTTTGAGTTATCTTCCCGAATCAACCGTGACAGGGAGAAGTCGGTGATTAACACACGACAGGAAGTCCTGTAGGGTCGCGGGAGAGTTATTCCCAAAACGTAAACACAGACAAACGTCCTGACAATGTCCAATGCCTTCTCGGAGAAAACTGACTTTTCTGTGTTGAAGAGGATGTTTACTGTACATAAATGGAGCCTGACCTATATATATTTTAACGGACTGCCAGAAATAATTGTGTGTGCGTGTGGGGGGGGGGCGACAATGTCTTTGGTATAATTTTCAATTTCTATGGGTCCTTTGGACTCGCCTTGGAGATAGTCTGGTATACAAGGTTACGGCCTATTCAACTTATACGTGTCACTGATCTTGTGCCCTTGGGAAAGGCACTTTACACGACTCTCCTTAAACTCAAGTGAAAATGAGTATTGCCCTGTCGCGTTCCGTATTTGTCATCTATCTGCGTTGGTGACAGCCTGATTAAATCGCTTTTGCCGGCCGCCCAACATCCAGCCGGCGTAGGGAGCCCCCCTGAGCTTGGGTTACATAGGCTACGTTGGTGACGACATAAAATAAGTTGAAACTTGAGTGTGGTGTTACCATGTCTGGTCATGAAATGTTGGAATAAAAAAAAGTACGGTCTCACATACAGAGATGTGCGAAATGCGGTCCAAACTTCGAATTGAGCGAAAGTTTTGTTTTTCTTGTCTTCACTTTCCCCTGCTAAGACAATTCTACTAGGTCCCTTCTAGAAATAAACACAGTTCATACACAGACAAAAAGATGGAAACCAGATGATCCCGCGGATCTTACATGTAATCTAATACTCATCTCCAAGCAGATATTTGGGTGGCTGGAATACAGTTTCAAACAAGCCAAGCAGTATCCATTTTGCCTGCAGTATGCTTTTAATTTGCAGCCACCCAAAGATCTGCTTGGCGGTACATATCAATTTAATATACAATATGATGTATTAATACAATAATGTACAGATCATGTTTTACTAACCGCTTTAATAGGTTGACGAATTCATATCCCCTTTAGCAGTCAACCCAGAACTTATAGGTTTACTCGCCTGCCTCTACCAGGCACCGCGGGAAGAAATTGATCTTCTCTGGTATACTATCCCTTTAAATATTTCGGCCAATTTCTACTATTTTTCCAGCGATCCGCGGTGCCTTGTAGTAGAGGCTAACATTTATAGTACCGGCGAAAATTACGTAGGGTTACAAACAGACTATATTAAGGTTCACCGCCATACAAATTCATTTACAAAAATGGAGGTAAAATGGTGGCTGAAATAAACATTCATGAATACTCCATACTTTCTAGGTCAGGAGGTTGATAACGTGTAACACTGTAAGAGGCCGAATCTGAGATAGTCACAACTGGATTTCTACTTACCATATTTCTTCCACCAGGCGGTGTGGGAGGGGTCCCTCCGTTTCCGGGGATGTGTGCGTGGATGGTTCCACCGTCAGGAACCTGGAAACTCTCACGATGTACCTATTACCAGGCCAGAATATAAAAATCGGTTAGTCACACAGAAGGTGTATCTAATGCCTACTAGTTCACCCCCTCCCTTACAGGACACATATGATAGAACACACTGAAATCTCGTTTATTTGGTACCACATACCTCAGGTATTTTACAACAAAGGTTCTAACGGCGGAAGTGCACAAAAATATGTGAAAACGAGATATAACGTACCTTCTTCCCATTCTTGTAGAGTCTCAATATTGCTTTCGGTATTCCGGTTACATTTGACACTTCTTCGTACAGTTTCATCCCAGACGCTTGATTTTCCAAGATTTCCAACTCGAACTTGGGTCCCGTCGGGGGTACGATGGTGAACAGTAACTTTTCATTGTCAGGTTGGATGTTACAAGAAACGTCACGATGCAGGACAGAAAACAGGTTAATGACAAAAAGAATTGCCATACACGCGAGTAGATAATAGACCAGAAACATGGCCGGGGTCACCGCGCGAACGAGTGTTCATCTGCTAAAACACGACCGTTACCTCAGCTCGGTACACAAAATTTACAGCCGCGCTCTCCAACGACACCGCTCTGGTCTCTGAGGGACCGGGGGAATGTATCAGGCGGGGTGGTCAGCGCGTCCCGTGCCTGTGCCCGTCCCCCAGCCTGTTTCGAATTAAGTTCTCACAGAGTCCAGAGACTCAGAGCGTGAGAGATCGTCTTCCACTTCAGTCACACTGTTTATCAAGCTCTCGTCCGTTCAACTGCAGAGACTGCTATTGTTGCTTTCTTGTTTCGTCGTACACATTCGTGGTTGTAGTCGTCAGCGCGTTTCCGACCCTACCCCAGCCTGAATAGTTGTAGTGTATAATTCCGCGGAGAAAACGAGGAGAAACGCAAGGGATCATGTCGGAGGGTCTGCATGGGGGGGTCCTGGCAACGGTTAACGGTGAATTCAGCAGGGCCGATAACGCTTAACGGTAAATTCAGGACGGTCGGCAACGCTTAACGGTAAATTGACAGACTTTTTTTCGTTCGAGCTGCACTGGATTTGGTATCTCGCTTTGTTGGAAAAGGTGATCACTGACAAAATTACGTATATCTTACATGTAATGAAGCACGCATTAAAGGTATGTGTACCCTGTGTTCCCCACATGCCCTGGTCCCCGAGTGCGTCCACAAATAAAGGGGAGTCTGAGTCGACGTCAGCCAGCTTGCATTTTTTCAGTCTGCCCAGTGGATTTTGAGAGGGGAGCGTCGTAATCTAGGGGGGTCCGGGGGAATGCTCCCCGGGAAATTTAGGATTTTTAAGCCTTCAAAAACGCAATTTCCCACATTTTGAGAGGCAAATCATGGTGTTGAGAGTGTTTGTCGGTCCTTCTGATGTTTTCATATTTTACTCAAGATTTTTGTTAATTTGCCTGTCAAGGTTGACGGATTCTTTAAAAAAATTCTGTAACTCTCCGCAAACTTCCGGAAATTGACAGGAAAGCTGGTTCTGGCTAGAGCCGCAGGGACCGAGCGCAGAAGCGCGAGTCGAGCGCCAAAGGCGCGAGCAATGTAGGGGGGTCCGGGGGCATTCTCCCCCGGGAAATTTTGTATTTTGAACCTTCAATGACGCATTTTCCTGCACTTTGAAAGGCAAAATTAGGCGTAACGAAGAATTATTCATTAACGCTTAACGCTGAATTTAGGATGACAAATAACGTTTTACGTTGAATTAAAACGACCAATAACGCTTCACGAGGAATATACTGATAACGCTTAACGTTAAATTAGAGCGGGCCGGCAACGATTAACGGTAAATTAAAATAGCCCATAACGGTTAACGAAAAAGGGCATGCAGACCCTCATGTCGGGTGCCCCAGCAGTTGTCATGGTGTGGGATATCGGAAAGTGGTGGTTTCGGAAGGAGGATGGAAAAGTTGCGTTGGTGAATAACGGAGAAGATTTGGGAACCGTTGAGGATATCTTAGAAGGAAACACGTTTGGCTCTCTGAAGGTGAGTAGGATTATATTCATGAAATTTGCAACGTTACGTAATTTGTTAATGGTGGCCGGGGTATACGGTCAATCACAGCACTGGATAGCCTGGCTGCCAGCCCCATAGCACACTGGACACAAAGTATCTCAGTGACCAGGGTCACTGAGAGACTTTGTGTCCAGTGTGATTGGGTTTGGAACCCAGGCTAAGCACTGGAGTATAGTGGTAGAAAATCATGTAGAGATACATCAAGTTTCTGTCACTGTCAGTCCACCATTTCTTGGTAGCCAGCGACAAATGTTTCCAGGGTAGATGCATACAGACCGGCCCCTCGATTCTAGGACTGGCATGCCTCGGAAGAAATTCTACAACAGCCCCCCACCCTTCATATGACAGAGTTCGGGGTCCGTTCTGAGCAGGGTGTCAGACTGGTGTACGGAGTGACAGAAATTTTGCCATTGTATACATTTGTGTTTTTTTTTTAATGAGGGCCTGCAAGGGGCGGGGGGGTGGTGTCCCGACAACGCTCTACGCTGAATTCGGAAACCTCTCGATTACGCTTTACGATAAATTCCAAGTGGCTACAACGCATTACGTAGAATTAAAACGCGGTCAGTCTACGCTCTACGTAGAATAAAAACGGCCGATTACGCTCTATGGAAAAGGGCTTTTGGGCCCCATTTAATCGGGAAGTGGGTTAGCCTCTACCAGTCTTCGGGAGGCGGCTGGAAAGAGTAAAAATCGGCCAAATAGATAGATAACATGCCGGGGGAGTTTGTCTTCTGGGAGAGAACATCGGGTGCGGCAAAATGTTTTCTCCCAGCAGACAAACTCCCCCGGCATGTTATCTATCTATTTGGCCGATTTTTACTCTTTCCAGCCGCCTCCCGAAGCCTGGTAGAGGCTAGAAGTGGGTCACATCCTACCATAGCAGGGCAATCGTATGAGAATGACATGGCAAGGAAAACAAACAGATTGGGATCAGAAAGTGGTGGTGATTAACTTTGATGAGCTTAACAGTCTGCCATTGAAGGAACACGTCGTTAACTGGGGAGGGGGCATTTTTTTTTTCTCTCGCGAGGAAAGAATGTCACCCTGTGCGCTGTAGTTAGTGTGTGTAATACGAGCCCGTCACCTCGGAGGCTAGTGTAACCCAGCTTTCTTTCTTTATCCCGCGTGGATAATTGTCTGGATGTCTTTTTACGTAAAGTAAGTTACACCACGTAGCTGGTATATTGTTCGTAAAAGTCGTTTTAGTTTTATTTTGACGTAAATGTTTGTTTGTTTGTTTATTCAATCTGTGTATTCTTATTACGCATCAGTCGCAAAATAGTTCGAATTCGCCAGGCACTCGAGGATACAAGTAATACATAAGCGCGTACCCAAAACCTGCCGTTCTTCCTGGATCTATCGTCAAGCGTAACCGTTCATCCTAAATTAGCGTGGGCACCTCCGTATCCCCCCCCCACACACACACACACAACACAACGTGTCATGATGAGGCCCTACCCGCTTTTGTTCTCATTAGGCCATTTGTTTTGATTAAATGGATGACATCCTCTGGGAACCCAAAGACTGACGCGAGCGTAAGAATTTAAAAAACTTGGCAAAAAAAAAGTTTCCTTTATTATGAAATCTACATAGTCATAAAGGTGGAACAAATGCATCAACACACAGAGTATGGTATGGTGAATAATAATCAAATATTAATCAACATGGCCTTAATAATTAACATAGGATTTTTGACTGGTTCAGAATCTACCAAATAACTTGAAATCCAGACGCGAGAAAGAGGTTTTAGTTCACTGACTCAAATTGTTTTGCTGAGGGTTTTTTTTTGCCTGTGTTTCATGACATGTTGATATGATCTATCATATTTAGATCATACTGGAGTTGGGCCCGCCCACGAAGCTCGCAGTGAGAAACTTTGACCCCGAGGCGAACGACTTCTGCGGGCAGTTTAAGGAAGCCGGCCGCTCGGGGTCCAGGAGGGCGTTCCTGGAATGTTGGGAGACGGCTAAGGTTAACCCTGGGTCAGTTCCTGTGGAGAAGCCCACGGCCGGTACGTGAGAAAACAATGTGTTTTTATAGCCATTTTGCCCAGATCTTTATAGTGTGTATTTAGATCATTATCATTATTATCATTCTAATATGGCGACATTGATGATTGTCGTCGATTTTTTTTTATATTTCAGTTTCTTGCCATTATGCAGAGCTTTGTCTCAAAGCATGTAGGCGCTGACAGCAATCTTCTGTTCTACTATAATCTGTTATGAGAAAGACACAGAACAGTTAAACTTAAAGTGTGATTTCTCGTTTTTGCAGAAGGCTCCTCTGTGACCGAAGCGACAACGACCGCACCGGAAGAGGCAGATAGTGACGTGGTCAAGCGGCATTTTGTCGGTAAGTTTATACCGTCTTATTTCACTATCAAAGTGCAACATGTTAATCTCCAAGCAGATCTTGCAGTGGGGGTAAGACAGTGGGGGTAATTGACCAGCCTGTAGAACGTTTATAGAATGGACTGGAGCATACGTCAGTTAGATTGGTACTGTCTTACCCCCACCGGAAGATCTGTTTGGAGATTATAACATGTGACGATGGGTCTGTGTTATGTTTACAGACTTAGTTCAATTGAGTGGACTGATTAGGTTATGTTGTATTTTGTTTATAGGTAACTTCGAGATACCGGTAGACAGGATGGTCTCACCTCACTGGAGGCGGCTTTGCCGTCAACCCGAGCCAAGCCACGTGGAGGACTTAAGGGTGAAGTTCAAGGCGACACCTGACATGTCCTTCACGGTGCTGGCTGTCCACCTTCCCGGGATAACGCCGGAGGCCTTTCAGCCCAACGAGATCGCCACATACGAGTACGAAGTGCTGGGGGGCAACCACACACGCCTGGCTTTGCAGAAACTTCGTCAGGAGCAGCCCGACAACACCAGCTTCCAGACGCGCATGGCCAAGGTTTACTGTGGCCTACCAGACAGCCTGGCTAAGAGAGTTGGCATTGTGCACAACGATGCCAATTTCTACCTGCCGGCCGTTCTGAAGGACCGCCTGTACACCTTCCGTGCGGCGGTCTACGCAGAAGCCGGGTTTACGGACGAGGCCAGCCTTACCACAGTTGAGCCACCCCGCAACAAGGCCACTGAGGGAAGGTGGAAAGATGGCCTGTGCACTATGCTCGGGATTGTGGATGTGAGTGTTGTGTTTTCTTACATCTGTACGTTTGATGCAATGTCTACCTACATGTGCACGATGTGCGGTGATTACCTATGTAAACGTTATTTATCTAAATTACAATTTGGGACGCTGCCCCCGTCTGGCAATCTGGACTTAGCACTGATCTTAGTAACAGGATCAAGAAGATCCAACGGAGAGCAGTGCGCATCATTATGGGTGCGAAGTACACATCCTACACCGAAGGCTGCTCCTACTTGGGACTACCTACCCTTCAGTCACGACACCTTCACCTGACTAATAACTTTGCGAACTCTCTTAGACAGTCTGAACAGTTCCGGCATTTTCTGCCGCCTGTTAGAAGTACACTAGGTGGTCGCCAAACCAGATCAGCTTACAAACTGAACACTCCCCGCAGCAGAACTGATCGTTATCAGAATATTGCTCTACCGATACCCTTTATGGTCCGTCTGCTTGTAACACTGTCACATTTTTTGGACTAGAATATGTATTAACACTAGAATATGTCGTCTTAAAACACATAGTGTTAAGACATATTCTAGTGTTACCATTGATCTGCTTGGTGATCTACAATGATGTTAATTTCCACTGGGAAACGTTTGTTGACATTGTTTATTAATGGTCTATTATTATTTTAAATTGCTTAAATAGACGTTTTATACTGTTTATGTCCCGATGTCAATTCAGCCGCCATTTTTGGGACAATGTTAATGCAAATATAAACCATTGATATATATTTTTTTTTCTCAGACGCAGAACACATCTAAAAGAAAAATCCTGTCCAACCAGCACGGTGTGGAGGTGCGGCTGGCCATGTCCTCCTGCAGGGTGTGGGCAGCCGTGACCCAGTTCATTGCAAGGTGGGAGGAGGGGCGGATCCGCAAACAGCCTAGGTCAGCTGGGAGGCGGCACGAAATCAAGGGTCACCACCTGCGCTTCCTCAACAAGCGGGAAACGGACGACGAGAAGGTAGACGTGCTGGAGAAGCTCATGAGCGGCGAGCTCGAATATAAGTTCGACTTGAAGGTATTTGAGACTAATATAATTATGATATGAAATTCGCACATGTTGTCATCTAGATCTACCCCCACAGACGACTTAAATACCGAGGTTATACTAACTCCATCAATTATTTCTGTGACGTCGCCAAAATACTGTGCGTGTAACATGGACACATGTGATTTATCTTTCCCACAAAGCTTTTGACATCAAAAATAGATCAGACTTGTCATGTATTTGAATAATCAATTAGCTTAGATTGTTCAATATGTGTGAGGAGAAAAGAGGCTAAAAATCTCTCTGTTTTTAGCTTTTGATATAGCATTTCTCTCTGGTGTTTGTTAGAAGGTGCAGGACAAGGACGCCGGTGGCAGCGCCGAAGCAAGCACCACCAAGCAGAGGTCAAGCAGAGCAGAAAAGGTAAAACATACAGCTTTGCATTTATTTGTCTTATTAATAAATGGAGGAACGAATGTCATGAAGTGAATCTCAGGTGTGAATCAATTACTGCAATTCAATATTTATTTACATGCACTCAGACAGGCATTCAGCAGGCCAGTGAAGAAAATATCAATGTTTGCTTTCGAATTCCATCACCCTCCTGCGCAGACCTTCTAGCGGCCGGCGTTTATTGCCATGGGGGTAAATTTGCGTGCGACCTTTTCTCTTCCAGGGGGGTTGGGGTTTGCACGGAGCTCTTTTTAGGACTTGGCGGTTAGTATGTGCAGTATGGAAAATACAAGAAGATAAGCATAATCGGCCTTTAGGAGAAGATGCAAGGGAGGGTAAAATTTGTCTATATGAAGGAATACTGTCCTTCAAACTTCAAGGGGGATGTCACCACAGTGAATGACACCATATGCTAGGATGAAATTCTTCAATTACACACAATAAAACACAGCAAAGCAGACCTGGTGATGTCATCAGCTTCTTGGTAACGTTGATTGGTCGACTGCGTGGTGCATGATATACGAACAGTAAAACTAATTAGATATATCCATACAGGATACTCCCGGGAAAGACGACTCCATATGTGCACCAAAGACCGCTGGCGGGAGCGAGGCCACACAGCCGGATAAGCAGAAAGACGACACCATTGCACAGCTGAGGGCTGAAGTAAAAAGGCTGGAGAAGGAATTGCAGTGTCTGAAGGTACAGATCAATTAGCCTCCTTCGCAGACTTGTGGGGCGCGGAATAATTTTTTTTCGGTGAGCCACGCGTTATGCCGCCGAGAGACTTTTGCCGGGAGAGCAGTCTCTCCCCGGCAAAACTCGCGTCGCTCACCGAAAAAAAAAATAATGCCGCGCCCTGCAGGTCTGCGAAGGAAGCTAGCTACAGGTCAATCAAGTCAATATGCCGACACCTAGACAGATTAAAGAGCCAATAAACTTACCTTTTTATATGTTTATAGCCCACGGCGACACTGAATGACATAGATACTAGTTCTTTGATGATTCATTTTATGATTTATTGGTTAATATATATTTTTTCATCATGTACAGGAGACGCACAAGAAGACGGAGGGTGACCTGCTGAAAAAGCTGGAGGAGGAGAAGGCCAGCTGTAAGAACCTGCAGTATGAAAAGGCACAAATGGAGGAAGAGCAGAAAAGGCTGCTTTGGGATCTTGGAAATCTGAGAGAGGTAGGCCGCATTTTGCCAAATTTATATCTAAAACACCCGACTGGAAACGATCATGCCTCAATGCACCTTTATTAATATTCGTGTTGTGAGTGGGCCTTCTTCAGGGGGATCACCTGACCAACGCGACCGCCTTTCCCGGTCTCCTTGGCAGTTGCCTTGGTCAGGTTTGACCGCATCTATCAACATTCATATGAACGTGGGTTCTGTGCTACATTCAGTGTCTTACGATATGGTCGACCAGATGCCAGATAACGGGGAAAGAACACACCGTAGTTAGCCATGCGCCGGTCATTATCACCTAGTTTGCCGAATTGACCCCAAAGTGTGACGGTCATTATGTAGATGCTTCTCCGTCCCACACTATACGTGTGATGGGCGTGTAAGGTCAGTGACCTGGCACTGGCCTAGTCGATCAGTCATTCCAACAAGGGGGTTATGGATGTTTTGGTTTAGCTTATGTCTAGATCTAAAACAATCTTCGGAGGTGTAGATGTGTACGCTTTATTTCTTGTATTCGCTTTTTATGGTATGTACTCTGACCACATAAGGCAGTGAATGTAGCAGAGTACTCTTCTCACTTTCGTCTGAATGTTCATCTCATTCGGGCTAAAGACTAAAGTAACCACAAAGTTTGCTATAGCTATAGCTAGAATTTGACCAAGGAGAAAATCCTAGTATCCTGTCCCTACACTTATCATTTATCATCTTACCCTCGGATTGTAAATCAAGCAAAACGGGCCGCATGCGCGCGCATTCGTGTGATGGGCGTGAGGTCAGTGACGTTTGAACTCACACGCCTTCCTGTAATTCGTCAACTGTTTCATGAACAACAAAATGGTTTGTCTTTTTATTAGAAATCCAATGAAGGATCGCAGATCAGTGACGAGAACGAGCAAGCAACATCGAAAGGACTAGGGTAAGATTTTTTTACTTGTTACCACTTTTACTTCACGCAGTGTTACCACGGTAACGTAATGGGTGACTCGCATTGCCCAGTAGCCTTTTTTAGACGCACGGTATTGTGCTGTACATTTACAGTGATAAAACGTCGAGGTGTGCTAACAACCAAAGGCCAGCAAAGTAATGCAAGTGAAAATATTAAAAAGTACAGTGTTCTTGCTATAGCCCTTTTGTTACCTTATCGTGATTCGTCTTCCATGTTACTAGGCATCTCAATCTTGTAATCTAAATATCTATTATGCTATTTCAGACAAAAACGACATGTCAGCGGTGAGGGAGGTGACGCTGATCAGGTATGTCCATTTGAAAGATACAAGGAAAACTTCATGATAGAATTTCTGTAGCTAATTTAAAAGAGATAAAGTCAACATGTTTTAGTCCTTGGGAATATGTAGTCAGTGAGTTTCTAAATCAATATGCTTTTGACCCGTTCATTTCTGTCGAGAATACTAATCGATACAACATATTTATAACTCACATACAGAGCACATTAAACGTTATCTTTTTCTCTTATTTCCTTTCCCAGGCAGTACGTGCGAAGTCGCGAAGGACTGCTGTCAATAAGGTTGGTAAAACTCTTGTCTTTAATGATTCCACATCTATTGACGATGGGGTCAACACTTAATCTTCCTTTACAGATAGCCTGTCTAATTCTACCGGCGACTTCCGACCTTTGCTCTCTTGGCTAGATCATACCCACTTGACATGTTATGGGCTGACTTGTATTAAGTTTATCCACCCTACAGTTGTTAGATCCCCCATCTGTCTGTTCTGGTACACATGCGCGCTGGGCCCCTGTGGTTACTGTGGGTTATTTTGTAGTGTCTGAGGTTAGAATCATGCTATACACTGTACTGTGTTACTGTCTAACGGAGTGTGTCCGTTTATTGTGTTCCTGGTTCTCAATCAACAACAATCGATCACAATACAGCTGACCTTTGGCCTATTCACTCGTTCTCATCAAAATGGGCAAAATAGCGATTTTTAGGGTCGAAAAATCGACGGACAGATTTTTCAGGCACACCCACCTTATTTTTTAGGAAAACATGTCAATTTATGATTTCCAAAAAATGACAGCTTATTTATCATAGGAAGTTACCAAAAATGTATGGATTTTCATAAGATGTGTGAGAAAAATGCAGATTTTTTTGTGTAGGAAAAAACCTGGAACATCATAAAAGAACTGGGTATATGATAAAGCTTTTATTCATATCATCACTTCAAAAGCCATAGGAAAAATAACTTCGAAAGCAAAATATAAATGGTTTATTCAGAAATTCACAAAAGGTGCACTAAAACAACATTGCAGCCAAATAAAACTCATAGTAAAACCGGCTGAATTACGTAGTAATCTCTGAAAATCTCCAAGAAGGGCAGAATATATTGAAGTCTGTTGCCGAGACTGAGGTTTGTTTTTACTTAGATACATATTTTTTCTACATTAGTTCCAACGATTATGTTTATGGTGTACAAGAACAGGAATTTTGGCACCTTTTTATGTCCTTCAGGTTAGAGGTGTAACATACGTTACCGGTAACGGATGTTACAAAACGGATATTTTGCTTGTTTTCTCCAAAAAGATCTACAGTTTTTAGTTTAATCTTTTGGGTGCAAGAACGCATAAGTACGGGCATTTTAACACTGGGCAACATTCTTATACCAGGTGAAGTATCTAACATTGGAAGTAATAAACAATGGTAACGTATGTTACAGTCATTATTGTAAAGCATTTTGTTTGGCAAGGGTGGCTACAAATGGCAGCCGGCACTCTTTTTTTCTTTACTTAGAAACCCAGAAAACCTACAAATATTCTTCAAAACGTTAATTTCCTATCTTATATGTGACCCTATATAAACTTTACAACCGTCTTACTTGCGCGGTAACGTATGTTACAGAACTTGGCGACAGGTATGAACCACCTCGCACGACGTACAAGAATAGTGACAGGAGTGATCTGACTTGATCTGTCAGAGGCCCTGGCTAAGCCAACTTCACCAGCCAGCAAATTATTGCCGTTGTTCTATTGCTACGTTTTAGGCTGCTTTCTAAATTTGTCGTGTCTTCTCAGGCGACAGCCATTTTTTCGGGTGAGAAATCCAACGCGCGGCTATAATTTCTTCCAAATCATCAACCAAACCTAGTTCTGTGGTACATATTTCGTGAAACATATTGTGTGTACTGGGGAAGCAAACAAAGCAATGATGAGATCCGTGATTTGGCTCTTATCTAGTCGTAAAGAGTGGCGACAGCATTTGGCACATTTGAATGAGAACGACTCATTGTACATAATACCTGTTCATGTTTATTCCTGACAGTCGATAAGTTACACTAGGTGCATGCATAACATAAATGCCGCTTTACCTTTCTAACAACATTTTACACTTTATTTACAGGACCCCCTGTACAAGGTCGGCGACTTCGTCGTCATCGCCGGCGAAGCTAACGATGGCAAAGACAGGGTGCCATGGTTTGCCCGGGTCATAACCACCGACCCGGCCAAACAACGCCTGACCCTCCGGTGGTATGTCCCCAACAAGGAGGGCGTGTACGAGAGGGAAGTGCTTGACGGCAAGCCCCTCAAAGACGAGAGCATCAGGTATGCTGAAATCCTTACCTCTGTGCAGCTGACAGACAGGATGACACTGCCAGAGGAGGAAATGTCAAAGGCCTGGAAGGCATTATAACTTCCTCATAAAACCTATGGATGGCGCGAAATACGTTTTTTCCCTTATGCTCAAAATTCACATGTATTGTCAGTTGACATTGTCTTTATTTTGTTTGCATTTTTTATGCCCTTTTAGTACAAAGGAAGATAACCACACCAGTCCACAGAAATATTTTATTTGTGACAGGTCAAATTTACCCCAAATTGACCCAGCTCTTTTATACTCAATACACTTTTCTCTGCTGTGTGATGCGTATTTCTACTTCTAGTCAATGTAAAGTGTACTTATGTTCTAATTGGTGAACACCACCTGCCATACATGGGCTGTGTGGGGTCAACGTTAGTGCGAATTATGTTTTCTGTCGTTCCGCTCAAGTCCAATGGCATTGACATGTTTTTTTTTATATAGTCATAGAATAATTAGTTCAAGTCAAGATGGTAGGCATGTTTTGATTGCGCTTGGTGCAACAAAATACCGTTTGCCTTGTGCTGTTTTTTAATATTCTTTCATATGTTCTAAATGATTCAGGTTGTTCAAATCTGATATGCACATTTTCAAAATTTTTTTCAAGATCGCCTAACTACGTACTAAACGGAAAGTTGTTCGGAATCAAATGCGTTCTTTATTCTATAGAGAAATACGCTGACTTCCTTTTTCATGTACTGCACGTTAATTGTCCATGTATTGCACCTATTATATTGTAGTTTGCATTGAATAAACATGCTCAGGAAGCTTTAAAGATCGACAAGACTGTTTTACTGTTCGCCACATTAATCCCTTTTAGTCTTTTGTAGACCACACGTACTCTTAGAACCCTCTCTGGCCTGGTCGAGGTAAGTTCCCTCGTGTCGGACATCACACAAGAACACCGTTCGTGACGGCCTGGTCGAGGGAACTTCCCTCGTGTCGGACATCACACAAGAACACCGTTCGTGTCGGCCTGGTCGAGTGAACTTCCCTCGTGTCGGACATCACACAAGAACACCGTTCGTGACGGCCTGGTCGAGGGAACTTCCCTCGTGTGTGACTTGGCAAGGCACATCGCTAGTGACGGACTGTGTGCATGAGAATCGCTCTTGACGGCGGCCTGGCCGAGGGAATTTCCCTCTTGGTCGGCTAAGACAGAAAAGTTCCCTAGTCCCCGGTCAAAGGAGGGAATTTCCCTCCCATTGTGGCTGGCTAAACAGAAAATATATCTCGAACCTGGCCATACGAGGGAATTTCCCTCGATAACCCCTAAATTCAAGCCAATATGATGGTCTTTTTGAACTTCGTGATGTCTTTGAGTTTTGTTATTACAGTCTAAAAAGCTTTAGAATCAAGATTTTGTTGTCTTAAGATTTCAAAATCTAAGACGAAAAAAGGGGAATAAATTGGATTTTCCCCTTTAGATTTGGACTGTGTTATATATGTGTGTGTGTGTGTGTGTGTGTGTGTGTGCGTGTGTGTATGTGTGAATATATGCGTATGTTTGTGTGTGTGTGTGTGTGTGTGTGTGTGTGTGTGTGTGCATGTGTATGTGTGAATATATGCGTATGCCGGTGTGTGTACGCGCGCGTCTATGTGTATATATATACATATATGTTTGTGTGCGGTATGTATGTCTGAATATATGCGTATGTTTGTGTGTGTGTGTGTGTGTGTGTAGTGTTTGTGTGTGTGTATTGAGGGGGTTACTCTATCAGTAGGTTCTACTTCAAAAGAAATCTGCTTCACTCACCTGGGCGTCCCCGTGCCACGCAATGTTCTCCATTTTCCACCGTCTCCTCAACTGGTAATGGCGCTACTTTCCCGTTTCTTTTAGGGAAACATTTAAATAATAGTTTTCTTGCAAAACGAAGCATCGTTTTCACCCGTTACAACGGAGCTTGACTTCGAAAAAAGTAAAAGCTGTGGAGCTGTGTTTCAACGTTGTCGTTGAGCACTGTCTCTAAGCAGTAGTGTTTAGAAGAACAATGTTGTTTACAGACGTCACAAACATAATTATATACATTGTACTAGAACATGGGCGATTCGACTGTGCGGGGGGGGTGAATAGAACGAAAGATGGCTATAAAGCCTCGGTCACAACCCGCCGTGCGTGCTTTTTGTCCGTACGTTTTTTGGGAGGCTACGTCTTCTACGTTTTTTCTGAAAACGTGGGGAAGGAGTGGCATCGACGCACGTCACTCGCACGGTTGCGCAAGGTGTAAGAGTGTGGTCTGCACGCCACGTCTGGCCGTGAGCGGTTACATGCATCGTACGTTGCGCAAGTGGTAAGTGAGTTGTACGTGCTTACAACGTACGATCTCTGTGCGATTGCAACTTTACCGTAAGGACGTCGTACTCACACGTGCTTCCTCCGTACGGTACGTACGGGGCACGCGCGTCGCCCGTACTCGCACGCAGGGGTGGTGAATCCGCAGACCAAAAGTTTTACATTCACTTAAAGTTCTACGGCGTGTCTGCATGCTCCCAAATCCGTAGGATTCCGTACGGAGGCGGTACTCACCACGCACGAATGCCCTACGTTTGCCCACGTTTTTGCACGTAGACAGCACGCAGGGGCACGTACGGCGGGTTGTGACCGTCGCTTAAGCTACATCAGTTTCGTCTGCAGTATACAGATTATTCCCGAGAGCGGTGTATGCAACTGCAAGGACGTGACTGAAAACTACGGGTATACAGACAGAATGAACGATTCGGGAAGCCAACAAAAAAGTTTTTTCAATATTTTGAAAGCAATTTTGCCTCTTTCACTTTCATTTACCCAGCATTTTCAAAGATATCATTTTCAGTAGAAACACTTTCGATAAGTTGCAGTTCATGATTTCATAACTATTGTAGTTGCAGTTCATTACATCATTTAATATAAATCATAGAATTTACAAATCTTTACAGATTCTCGAATTATCCAGCTAAGATCATATGTGGTATCTGTTTTTCCGGCCATCCATTGTGCCTGGTGGAAACTTAATCTTCCTCCACAGGGAGAAACTTGTCAAGAGTTCCTTGTAATGGGGGTAATGTTAGTTCAACAAACAACTCTTCACCCTGATTGTGTTGTTGTTAGCTTAATAGTGTAGGTTTTTTGAAGATGATTATCGTAGTTATAGTGGTCAGAGAGTCTTTTTGTGATCGAAGCAATGGACTATTTACCTAGCCTGTACCATGACTTTCTACGGAAATACGGAATGTAGAATTCGTCAAAAAGGAGAGGACAATAGGCCTCCGATGCGCGGCGATCCAAACTTCAAAACGCCAAAAAATGTTTGTTTACATTCTGCATGGATACCTCCATGCATTCTGGTAGTTTGTGGTGGTACTACAAACTGAGTGTGCCTCGTCTGGTCTGTTCAAGATAGCGCCAATCATAAATGTCAGAAATGTGAGATAATTTCACAAATATGTTGAAAAGTGGAATTGCAATTAAATCACATAAATATTTTTATATGAAATATTTCATTTATTGGTGCAAAAATGTTAACATTGTTACATTATACCCGTTTAACCCTACCTAGACCGGGGGGGGGCTAAAAGTGCCCGCGGCAACTTTGATGTCACCTAGCGTCTGAACGGCTAGCCGTAGAACGACCAAACTTGGTGACTTTTCCTAAAATATTGTTGGCAACAATTCTCTATCATTGGAATAAGATAATAATATTTTGTGTTGCCATGGCAACGGGTTTCTGACAGGCATTTTTTGCTAAATTTAGTACTTTTTGTTTCAACAATAGAATTTTATGGGTTTTATGTCAAGTTACTCATGGTTTCTAATATTAATAACATCCCATATAATTTTATGTAAATTTTATCATTAAATATGCATAATTTATGCTAATTTGATGACGTCATTGGCCAAAATCCAAGATGGCGGACCATATCATTAGAACAGGTATATACGGGTTATTTTCATTAAAATTTCATCAATACTTTCATTTCTTTTTACAAAAAGGTTTGAATGAAGGTGTTTAGTATGTTTACAATGTATTTTAGGCTTTATCATGAAAAAAAACTATTTTTGAAAATTCAAGATTGATGATCCAAGATGGCGGATATCTTAAATATGCATGACGTCATTTTATGACGTCACCGGTGTTGCTATGGGCAACATAAGACTTAGTACACACTAATATTCTGTCATAAACACTTTTGGTAAAGTTATGTTG